GTGTGCATGTATGTATGTAAGTATGTATGTATGCATGTGTGCATGTAAGTGTATGTATGTATGTGTGCTTTTATTCGTGTGTATGTATGTATGTATGTATGTATGTATGTATGTATGTATGTGTGCATATATGTGTGTATGTATGTGTGTGTATGTATGTATGTATGTATGTATGTATGTGTGTATGTGTGCATGTATGTATGTGTGTATGTGTGCATGTATGTATATGTGTCTGTATGTATGTATGTATGTGTGCATGTATGTATGTAAATATGTATGTATGCATGTGTGCATGTAAGTGTATGTATGTATGAGTGCTTTTATTCGTGTGTATGTATGTATGTATGTATGTATGTATGTATGTATGTATGTGTGCATATATGTGTGTATGTATGTGTATGTATGTATGTATGTATGTATGTATGTATGTATGTGCACATGTACGTGTGCATGCATGTGTGTATGTATGTGTGCATGTATGTGTGTATGTATGTGTGTGTATGTATTTATGTATGTATGTAGGTTTGCATGTATGTGTGTATGTATGTATGTATGTATGTATGTATGTATGTATGTATGTATGTATGTATGTGTGTGTGCATGTATGTATGTATGTCTGTATGTGTGCATGTATGTGCGTATGTATGTATGTATGTATGTATGTATGTATGTATGTATGTATGTATGTATGTATGTATGTATGTATGTATGTATGTATGTATGTATGTATGTATGCATGTATGTATGTATGTATGTATGCATGTATATATGTACGTAGGTTTGTATGTTTGTATTTATGTATGTATGTATGTATGTATGTGTGTCATGATCAGGCAGGATTTCTAGCCCAGATGCAGAACACACAGACAGAGAGGCAGGGGAAAAGTCCAATAATTTATTGAACGGCGACAGGGTTCTACCTGGGAGGCAGAGAGGACACAGCAGGTTAGGTTCAGGTTTACAGGTTCAGGTTCAGACAGGCAGAGTGGCTCAGGCTTGCTAACCACGACAAAGTCAGTTCAGTTCAACAATCCGGCTCAGAGTGGAGCTCTCCTCCAGCTTATGAAGGGAGAGCTCTTAATCAGCAGATGGGGAACAGCTGCTTCAAATGAGCACCAGCTCTCAGGAGAGGATCCACGGCGCCCTGTGGTGGGCAAGCCTCTGGATCCCAACCGACAACAGAACCCCTCAGAAAGGGATCCACATCGCCCTCTGGAGGGCAAACCTCTGGATCCCAACAGTGTGCATGTATGTATGTATGCATGTATGTATATGTGCGTGTATGTATGCATGTATGTATGCGTACATGTATATATGCATGTATGTATGTATAAATGTATGTGTGCACGTATATGTTCATGTATGTGTGCAAGTATGTGTGCATGTATTGGTAGTTGTATGTGTGCATGTATGTGTGCGTGTATGAGTGCATGTATGTATGTGTGCATGTATGTGTGTCTGCATGTATGTATGTATTTATGTATTTATGTGTGTATGTACGTAGGTTTGTACGTATGTTTGTATATATGTGTGCATGTATATACGTATGTGTGCACTATGTTGGGCAAGTTACTTTTAAGAAGTAATTAGATATAGTTACTAGTTACTTCTCCCAAAAAGTAACTGAGTTACTAACTGAGTTAGTCCACAATAAAAGTAACTAGTTACTAGAAAAAGGAACTATTGCCTTATTTTTGCGTTTCTCGCCCCCGTAACCCTCACCACCCAGCCCCCACCTTCTCGCCGTGTGTTTCTAAAGCCAGCTGAATAGAGCGGACGACAAAGACAAGAACCTGCAGAGAATTTAGCATTTTTTGCAACTCAGCGTAAATGACGTCAGGGGGGACCGCTATCTGACGGGCCTATATACCCCGTCAGATAGCGTTCCCCCAGCTTTACATGGGGGAATGGTATCTGATGCGGTGTAAATATCATCAAGCTGCATTACCTCTACTCATGGGTGTGAAGTTTTTTAACCCCTGGCTCACACCGACTCCGGTCTTACCGTTGCGGTGCGGTGGGTGCGGCGCCGCAGTGATTCCAAGTCATTAAAAAGACGTAAACCTCTCTCACCGGCTGCTGAGCTGTCCGGCTGCGGTTACCGAGACACTCCGGCGCTGCAGAAAATTCAGCAAGAAAGCTATCCTTGCGGCGTGCCGGAGCCCTCCGCAACAAGCTCTCGCAAATATCCTTATTTGGGCCGTGTTATCGCGTGAAGTTATGTGAACTCAAGTGAACTTCTGTTAAATCTCCGGACCTGTTGCCGGAGCCGCAGAGCCTCACCGCACCGTAGTCAAAAGGGGTGTGTGAGAAGGGGTGTGCGGGAGTTGCGGTCTCCGTCGGCTCGGTAACCGCACCGGAGCCAGTGTGAGCAAGGGGTAACAGGGTGTTCATATCTGGTGAGTGTATGAAATTAATAACTGGGGATGTCTAATTCTGAAATCCTGTGTGTTTGGGTTGTTATAGATACTGCAACATCTATCTATCTATCTATCTATCTATCTATCTATCTATCTATCTATCTATCTATCTATCTATCTATCTATCTATCTATCTATCTATCTATCTATCTATCTATCCATCCATCCATCCATCCATCCATCCATCCATCCATCCATCCATCCATCCATCCATCCATCCATCCATCCATCCATCCAGATTTCTCTCTTTCTCCATTTAGGCTAACATTTGATCCTTCACGCTCTCCATAGTTCCCCAGTGGCGCGAGCACAGAACGGCTGTTACCCGCATTTAGCGAGCATGCGCGTTTCCAATCGCTGCGCGTTGAATCGTGCCGCCTGCGCTGTGCGGATAGCAGGGGAAACCGTATCTGATGCGAAACGCAGCTCGACGTAACACCAGTATTTCCATGTGGAAAACGCTGTTTTGCTGCTGGATCCTCCTCACTCTCCATCTCTCTGTGTGTGCTGTACGTTAACACCCGCCAGCGGAAACACCCACCTACCCAACTGACAGACGGGATCTCACTATACATCAGCCATTCTCATCCTCCCCTCTCTCATGACAAGGCGCACACCAGTCCTATCATGAAAATAAGGTTCATTGTGCGACCTGAGTAACGCGCAGTAATGACTCCGACTGGAACTGTCTTTAAAGAAGGAGATCAGTAACTGCTGCACCATCATTTTGACGGAGTCATGGCTGCATCCAGAAATACCGGACAATGCTATTAGCCTGGAGGGGCTAACACTATGCCGCGCCGATAGAAACAAAGAACTAAGCGGTAAGACTCGGGTGGTGGGCTGTGTTTACATCAACAACAGCTGGTGAAAAATGCTAGACCAGTCGCCAGCTTCTGCTCTCCAGACATCGAGTTTCTGACTGTTAACTGCAGACCGTTCTATCTGCCCAGAGAGTTCAGTATGGTTAGCATCACTGCTGTTTATGTGCCCCCCAGCGCTAACACTAAAGAGGCCATGAAGGCTCTATACCAGGCTACCTCTGAGCTCCAATCTGCACACAGAGGGCGTTTTCATCATTGCTGGGGATTTTAACCAGGCTAACTTGAAGACTGTTCTCCCTCATTTCTACCAACATGTGGACTTTGCAACTCAGGGTGAAGGAACTTTAGACCTGGTTTACTCTAACATTAAAGATGCATTCAGAGCACCCCCCGCCCCCACCTCGGTTCATCAGATCATCTCTCAGTCATGCTTCTCCCTGCATATAAGCCCCAGCTGATCAGGTCTAAAACGACAGTTAAAGAGGTCAGAGTATGATCCGAGGGCGCCATGGAGACACTCCAAGAATGTTTTGAATGCTCTGATTGGAACATCTTTAAGGCTGCAGCAACATATGACAACTTATTAAATATTGATGAGTATGCCATGACTGTGTCAGCCTACATCAACAAATGCATTGAGGATGTCAGCATCAAAAAGAACATTCCCAACCAGGCCAACCAACCACCCTAGATATATGGAGAGGTTCGGAAATCTCTAAAAGCACCGAACTTAGCTTTCAAGTCTGGTGATAAAGAGGCACTAAGAACAGCGCGTGCCAACTTAAACCGTGCCATCAGATCCATGAAGCAGAACTAAAGCCAGAAGATCCAGGATCTTTTCCATGACAACAGCAACACCAGAAGACCATGGAGATCATCTTGGACTTCAGGAAGAACCGGCCTAACCACCCTCCACTGCTCATCAACAGCTCAGCTGTAGAGGTGGTCAACAGCACCAAATTCCTGGGGGTGCACATCACAGACACCCTCACCAGGACTGGAAACACCACCTCACTGGTCAGAAGGGCACAAAAGTGCTTGGACTTCCTGCAGAGGATGAGGAGAGCCCACCTGCCCACACCCATCATAACCACCTTCTACAGAAGGTGTGGTGAGAACAGCAGAAAGGATCATGGGGGCTCCTCTTCCCTCCATTAAAGACATTTCATCCCAGCGCTGCGTGTCCCGAGCCTGTGACATCATCAATGACCCCTCACCCCCCCAACATGGACTGTTCTCCCTGCTGCCCTCTGGGAAGAGACATCAAAGCATTGGATGCAGGTCCAGCAGATTCCAGAACAGTTTCTTCCCCACCGCCATTAGACTGCTGAAGGTTTTGTAAAATGGATTATTTTATTGTATTTTAATATATTTATTATATCTTATCATTATTTTTAAAAAATGAAGAAAAAGAAAGGAAAAAAGGTTAGAATTGTGTTTATATTACATGTTTTTATAAATTTCTTAGTATTTCTCAAGGCTGCACTTTAAAAAAAAAAGAAATTTGCCAGACAGCTGTTCTAAACACAATTTCTTTTTGTTTTACACCGTGTAAACAAAATGATAAATAAATCTGTCTAAGTCTAACTCTTAATCTGAATAATTTCTACTGCATATCACTCTTTTGATCCATCTAGAAACTAGGATTTATGATTGTTCAAAATAATTTTAGAGGGAATATTTTCCATAACACTGTCTTTTTGTGTCTGTTTCATGTAAAAAAATAAATGTGATTAATTAATTTTTTTCCGTTTAGCTTCCATGTTGTTGGTGTGCTGCACAACATACAAAGGTTGGTGAAATATTTTGTAGTTCTTGATGTCAGTATTTGCTGGTATGATACCAAACACAAGAATAAGCCTTTTTATACTTATAAAAGTAATCTATATAACAGACACAAACAGATGAGTTTAGGCTACAGGGTTTTACTGCAATACCTCTGTTAACCCTTTGCTTTGATGAAAATAAAATCAATCATCAGATTTTTCATTCCAGCAGCTGCTCTGACTGTGAGTCCCAGCAGATCTCAGTTCTTTATAAGAGATTCTGTGTCTCTGAGCTGTGAGGAGAACAACAGCTCTGCTGGATGGACTGTATGGAGGAACACAACCAGAGGAACCAGGACTCAGTGTGGAGATGGATGGGGGAAACTAGCTGGTTCTACCTGTAACATCAGCTACCTGTACACATTAGACAGTGGAGTTTACTGGTGTTGGTCGTCCAGAGAGGGAGCAGCCAGCAGCAGCATCCAGCTCACTGTCACTGGTAAGATCAGACTGTGGAGTTAGTGTTGATGAAGCTGTGTGGAAATGGATGAAATGCTGTAGTTTGTCTCTGTGTTGAGGTGGATCAGTGATCCTGCAGAGTCCTGTCCTCCCTGTGATGGAGGGAGATGACGTCACTCTGAGCTGTCTAACCTGGACCACTCCCTCCAACCTCCCAGCTGCTTTCTATAAAGATGGCTCCCTCATCAGGACTGAGCCCAAAGGTCACATGACCCTCCACCATGTGACCAGCTCTGATGAAGGCCTCTACAGGTGTAACATCAGGGGTCATGGAGAGTCTCCATCCAGCTGGATCTCTGTTGAAGGTCAGCAGCTTCTCTCTCTGCCTCAACCTTCATTAAGAGACAAGAATTAAATACATATATTTGAATTATTCCAGAGGAAAATATGACCACTCCACAGTCTACATCCACCACCTCTGGCCAAACTTTTCTCAAGATCACAATACCTGTTGCCACTTTTATCTCTTTTGTTTTACTTCTGGTTCTAATGAGACGATGTGTCTGCAGGAAATCTCAAGGTAAGTGTTCAATGCTTTAGAACTTGAGGGATTTTGCATAATGTGTCAGAGCAAAGAGAGCTGCAATATAACTAGCTCCTCATTTAAGCATTTTAATACTTGATCTGTTTTTGGAACAGCTGAAATAACTGCAGATAACATTTATTGAAAACATTCCTTATTCTCTTCAAAAACTAAAAACTAATTATCTGATGTTTTCTGCTGGATTCCAGTTGAAGAAACTAAGGAAGAGGAAATGAGCATCACATACAGTGAACTGAAAATCCTCAATAATCAACAGCAGCTGATCAAAAGCGGCAGAGGTATTTTTTCTAATAATATACATGCTAATCTAAATTATATTTTTTCCAGTCTAAAGACTGAAACAAAGATGACATATACATTTTCTGCTGGATTGATATGAGGTTTCTTTAATTGCTAATCAAAACAGACATTTTTTGTAAAGAGAAATTAGATCTTCCACAATTATTTTCTAAAGATGGAAGTTTTTTGTTGCTGTTATTTCTTCTCCTTTTAAAAGTTTGTTGCATCACTGCTTCATTCCCCATTTGAAGGTAATCTAGAAAGGCCCCAGGAATTTCTGTTTGGTAAAGTAGATTTATTTTTGTAATAAAAAAAGAAAAAAAAAGGAAAAACCCTGCAGTTTTTTATGTTGAATATATTACCTCAGACATGAGTTACATCATTTTGGAGGCTTTCAGACATTTTTTACTGCGCTGTGCATCTGCAGCCTGTGGTTATTCAGTTAACAGACCAGCAGCTCTGTGGTCGTCCAGCTTCCTGTTATTGAAGGTAAAAATAAAACCTATACATATTTCTCTGCAGGAGTCAAGATATTTATCATGATGGCTCCTATGCTTCTATAAAGTTTAAACACGGAAATCTAAAGGATTTGAAAAACACTTCTTTAATAGTAAAGCTCAGTAATTGTTACTATAGATGTTTGCATTGTGTGTCTGCAGGAAGGGACACCAATTTCGAAATTTGTCTGTTTTAAAGATGTGTCTTTTTTTTAACTTAAAATATAATCATATACCAGTTTTAGAAAGCGTAAATGTAGTTAGCTTAGATTTTCTCTACAGTGTGATGGTTTGAAAACCTATTGGTAAAGGGCAGGAAACCACTGAGAATAAAATAGATATTAATCTGTTGATTAGTATTTTTAAGATGGGGAAGTGGAGTTGTTGCATAGAAGAAGCTCCTGCCTCCATCTGCCATGTTGGAGGCTCCTACCCCTACTTTGTTTTCACTCCTTCGGTCAGCTCAGACACAAGGCCCTCGGTATAAAGTCCAGTTAAGAGGTGAAAACCTGTTTCCAAATACATTAAGAGGGGGAAGGGGCAGGTAGGTGAGTTCTGTTATAAAAGAGAATTAGTAAGAATGAAGGGAAAGGTGTATAAGAGGGTGATGAGACCTGTGATGTCTGGTTAAGAGACAATGTCGCTGAGGAAGAGATTGGAAGCCGACCTGGAGGAAGCACAGATGAAGATGTTGAAGATCTTTGCATGCGTGAAGAGGATGGATAGGATCAGGAATGACTACATCAGAGGGTCAGCTCATGTTAGGTGTTTAGATCAAGCCTGGTGGTTTGGACATGTAATAAGGTTGGATAGTAATTGGTAGAAGAAGGTTGAGGCTCATACAGCCAGGCAGGAGGCCTAGAGGGAGACCAAGGAGGACATTTATGGATATAATAAAAGAGGACATGAAGGTAGTTGATTTAACAGACGGATTCGCTGTGGCTACTCCAGAAAGTGAAACACTAAAAGAAAAAGAGGAGTTTAAAAACCAAATGTTGGAAAAGGAGGTTTAATTTCATTATATTTTCTATATAAAGCCACATCAACCCCTGATGCTTGCTTTGATTAATTTTCTCAATCTGTTTGTTTGTTTCTCTTGATACATTTTGAATGATTGATAGACTTTAACATGTCCAAATGTCTTTTGTCTGTGATGCAAATCTACTTAATTCACCTAAATTTAATATTTATAGCCAGGCCCTCTTGGTCAGAACTTTATAGAACCACATTTTCTGCAGATATGGTTTTAAGTCCTCTGCAGTATTTTTCTACAATCTTTGAACAATCCACAATCTTCAAGTATAATATTCATTTGAGTTAGGCCTAGACTTTGACTAAGCCATTCTCAAACAATCTTAGCCTGATTGACTGTAGCTCTGGCTGCTTTTTGGGATCATAGTTTGTCGTCTGTTTCGAGTAGGATATTGTAAGTATTGAAGTAAAAGCTGTTTCCACATATTGTATTTTGAAGTGTCATAGTTTATATTGGGACTGGATACTGTGGGGATGAATCTTTTCTAATATTTATAATTGGCTTATAATTTCTTGTAATGTCTTTTAAATTTTGTAAACTCAAAAAAATAAAACCCAGCAAATAGATCATCGCATCCTGGTTAAAGTAGAAACTTCCCAGAAGGGGTATCTCTATTTAGACATTCCCCATTTACTGGTTTTCACAGGACCGGGAGGGGCTGCTGCTCAGACTGCAGAATTTGTGATATTGTAAAATATTGTACAATATAAGCATGATTTTCATGAAGTATTAGCAATATAATGTTCTTAAAACCTCAGTAAAGTAGATTTTTTTATGATATAGGCCTTTTATTGTTTTAAAGGGATACTTCTGTAAGAGATAATATTTACAAACCTAATGAGGTTTAAAGGAGAAAAATAACGGAATATCATCTGTATTGCAGTGATGAATGTAATCTGTTAAATTGTTAAAAAAAAATCAGAAAAGGATGTTAACCAGGAACATCAAAGAAATATAATAATGATGATAATAATACATTTTACTTAAAGGCACCATAAAAAGATTTGCAAGATGACCTTACGTTATATAAAACACATGAAAGCATCATAACTATGAAATTACACATTGCATAACAGAACAAAAAAGAATTTTTTATTATGACTTCTGGGTAAAACAATGTTGTGACACTGCAGCGTTGCTAGTGAGGAAGTATCACATGGAATGGGCAACTGACCCAGGTTGGAAAACCGCTTGAAAACGACAAATGTGTGGCAGAGCTAGCGGTTAACGTACAGAAAAGTACATAGATTTCATGAAGTGCTCTCAGATATGAGTCAACAAGGTTATAATAGGCTTTGAATGTTAAAAAGTAAAATTTTCACTTCAAAACAGACTTGGAATGTAAGACAGTGATGTTTTTTTTCAAGGCAATGGAAATATTTTGTATGAACAGGGTTTCTTTGTAATAGAAGCAACATTCTGGACTAACTGGAGCTTATGCTGGATGAATAGTGTAGTCATGTAGCCATCATCATGATCACATTTCTCCTCAAACACCGGGCTCCTTGGGCTTTCAGAATACTGCTTAACCTCTTAAAACAGAATATTTTGGTGATGTCCTTCAATAAGGTAAAAAGGTGACTGACCTTACTTTGGGATAGTGGTTTCCACACTTTTCTGGCAGGGCCCACCTTTGATTTAGGCTTATAAGAAAGCTTTATACCCTCTCAGTTACCCCACAACCTTTCCAATAATTGAACAAAGAAAAGTCAACTTGAGTAAATTACATAATTCCATAAAATAAACAACAATGTCCTTTAAATTTTTAAACTGTAATCTTTGCAGGTCTAATCATTGGAATGTTAACTGTTTATTTCACTGTGTACTGTACTGTTAAACATTGCTATCAATATTTTTAATACATTTTTATCATGCCCCCTTTGCAGTTACACTGATCCTCTCTACGGGGTACAACCCATTGCTTTTGGAATGAGGGATATTGATTACCTTCTCATCTACAGTTGCTGAGTTCAAATTTGGTGGCTACATCCTCTGAAGGCCAGATTCTTTGGCCAATTAGATAACACCACGGCACCAAGGCATGTTCAGAATGGAAGACTACTCATTATGTGGGCAGCAAATGCAGCCTTCCTTGTGTCTGCTGGAAAGGTCAGGTCCAGTGTATCCTCCTCCCACAGCAGTGTGTCGTAGTGAGCTTGACGCAGATATTTTTGATTTATGCCCAATATTGAAGCGTGGTCTGCGCTATGTTATTCCACGCCACAAGGCAAGAGGGCCAGTCATGAACTAGCTGTGGGTCTAGATGCAGCCAAGGTGGTGAGAAGTGGGGGCAAATTTGTGACACAACGGAGGGACATGAGGGCAAAAAAGAGCGGGGATCCAGGTGGAAAAAGGGTCCCAGCGTTCTCGCGCACCTCGCTCTTCTAGCTGGTCCATCTTCACCAGTCGTTTTCCACAATGGCGGTCATACAAACAAAACAAGTCGGTAAGGTACCAAACAGGAAATACGCATAGAGTAGAGCGACCTAGATTTGATCAGAGGCCTCTTGTCTGCTGCAATGTCTGCAGTCACCTACAGTTTTGGAGAGGTGCAGCAGAGTGCCTGCGGAGTGGGCACATCTGCGTTAACTGTGACACACACGCAGACAACCTGGTTCCTGAGTATAAACCAAACTTTACCATGAGTTATTGTGAGTCCAAGCAAACCGACTGCTCCGTGCTCATAGGAAAAAGGAAAATGGGGCAGAACAGTGGTGAATATTGGAAGTGCAGTTTTATGTAATACATGTATGTAGTACACAGACTGTGTAATGCATAAATTTCTTTCTTAATTTCTTCATTAAACTCTCTAGTTCCATTGGGGGGAAATAGGCACTTCCTGTTGTCACAGTAACTTTTGTGAACTGAAAACTCAGAGTTTCCAACCTTAGGCTAGATCAATTCTGAGGATTTGAGGTTGAGTTTCTTAACCCTGCTTTGTGAAACAGACTCCAGGTATTCTGGTTATGCCATATTACCTTAAAGCAGCTCAAACTAGAGTC